AATCTTTTGTACGTGCATTAACGTTATTATCTTTGACCTGGGCTCCATAATAATTCGAATCCCATTGTTCCCTCGCTGTAATTACTCTTCGTCGAATCAAGCCCGATCGCCTACCGATAATTCGTTACGAGTTTACCATTAATTGAAGCTTCTCGCCTAATTAGCCAGTTATTGCTACCCGAATCCTACGTCCTAACCCGCTAATTACTCGTCCTCAAATTACTCTGCTTTTAGGAGGGATCGTTCCTCGTGAAAATTTTAAATTACAGCGCTTTAACGTCGTAGAATTTTCAGCGGACCCATTCGTAGTTCTGGTATTACTTTGGATCGTCGAGCATGCATTTTCTTTTACGTGTATCATTTTATTTTATTCGTTGAATGAGGTCGTTAAGTTGTTAGAATCGCCTCGTCTAAAGATACTCCGGTTGATCTTGATGCTACCTGGCACTTTATTTTTAGACGCGTAGAGATGTAGATAACAATAATGCCACGAGTCTGAGGAGTCCTGGGAAATTCCAGCGTCGAACAGCCACCAAAGGATTTTACGTTGCGAGACAACGAGGACCAAAGCCAAGCGCTGGAAAAAGGATATACTCTGGCTATTCTTGGGGATTAGACGACTCGAGGTTCTCGAATCCTTGATGACTCCTAATCTCGAGATCGCCTTCTCCATCGGATCGTGTCGTTACGCTGTTTCAACACCAGATTTACTAGAAATTGCGCTCGTGCTACAACGTAGTCGCTAATAACCAGAATGGTCGATGCGTCTTTAAACCGTGAAGTAAAAAACAAACGAACGGACTTACGTCTGGTGTAAAAAGCGTCGTTGAACGAATAGAAAGGAAATAATAAAACCGTTCCATGTTTCGCGCGAGGAACAAAATCCAGAGAGTAATTACGAGAGGGGAGTGAAATAAACGCGCGAAGGATTTCGCTTCTTTGCGTTAATGGCTCTGTTGGGTTTGTTGCAGCCAGCTGGCTCTCGGTGCAACGTAAATTATGAACACAGGTACGCGCCAGTAGCTGTAATGTCAGCCGATCGTTGATTCCGGAGCTTATTCCCGGTACCTCCGCGTTTGTGGTAAACGCCGATATCCCTGCTACACCCATAATCGTTGATTTTAGGTACACAATGGCGGCGTACGCTCGCGGCAAGTGGCGCTGTTTTCTCTACTAAATACGCCGCGCGTACTCTTGATACGCGTAATACGTGCACTGCTCGCAACACTACGGCATTCCGGTTCAATCCCCGAGCTTACTGCTTCCCAGCATGATGTCCCCCGACATGCACTTACAGTCGGTTACGAAAATAATCGGACTCCATTGTAGTTTTAACGTTAACCGTGTTTCTTAAGGTGCTATTCTACGATTTCAATTTTTTGGCCTTTTAAAGGATTTTTTTTTCAAGGAAAGTACAAATTTCTCAATTTCGAGCGAGAATAATTAAAACTGAGGTTCCTTTGAAAAATAGCGATACCTAACCCGGACCAGAATAAATATCGCTCGAGAAATAATTGTTATCCCGTAGCTTTTTTGTTATTCTGGTTAGAACGGTCAGGGTTCGTTGGTTCGGAGCTGCTTCCGGTATTTTTGTGGAACAGGAAACGGGAGCATGTTTCGCGAGCGTATTCGCGGTTTCTTTTGTAAACAGATTTCATGAATAAGATGTCGCTTTGTATTTCGGTCCGATCGTTCAAACAAAATGCGCCGTAGAAATATTAGATCCGCGTCGTATGTTTCCGCGATTCGTATGCGGAATGAATAAGTGGAGAGAGAGAGAGGGTTTGTGGGGAAAGCTAATAGAAAGCATCGCGGAATAAACAAAACTCGCCCGATGGCGCGGAGGCGCTTCTTTCCTCGACGGTAAATCATTCGTATTTCGAAAGGTTGCGTTCCGCAGCGGGAATAGGGATTATTTCAATTCCGTTCTTATCCTAGCGTCTGAAAGAAGACCAGGGTGTAAATTGGCCAGCCTCCAAGGTACCTCGTCAGCGCACGGAAGCTTAAGGGAATGAAAAAGGGTATAGAAGCCAAGTCAAGTGGGAATATATATTTTCCTTATCAGTTTTTGCACGGAGAGCTCGAACGATGCCTTCCGTGAGCTTTCCACGGCCGACCCCGTAGGTCGACGGCCGAATGTAAAGTCCATATTACACGGATCAACGAAATGTTTTATGCCGGACGATTGAAACGATTCCGCCGAGGGCGGTAACGAGTGCTCGCTGGACGAACGGACGAACCTGTCTCGTCGACGACCTAAAAAAATGACGATTCTATACATATAGTGGAAAAGATCATTCTCCTAAACAGAGATAAATTAGCGGTACATGCAAAGTTCGCTGCGCGACGAACAGCTTTGAAACAACAGAGTCGCTGTACGTGTCACGCACGTTGTTCCAGAGCGCAGGGAGCTAAGACGGGCCAAGTAACTTACCCTGTATCCAGGGAATATAAATTTGTAAGCATCCTCGCCCGAAGGGATTACGTATCAAGTAATTATTCGATGAAAAGGGAGAACACAGCTCAGAATGTGGATGCGTTTTGGTGGGATCCCGCGTTTGGTTAATATAGTTTGCTCGTTAAACATCCCGTAGCTTCCAGGGGTGTTCGGGGTAACGGAATATTCTACGCAACCGCTTAAGTTCGTTTCGAAATTATCGGTAGAACGGGGGGACACGGTACGTTAACCAATTACGTCCGCTGTGTGTCTAGCGGTCATTAGAGAAGTTACGGGAATGAAAATTCCGTAACGTTGAACGGGAGCGGAAGTAACCGGTGCCAGCAGCTCGATTTAAAGCGACGGGAACGCCGAATTCCATTATCTTTCATGGAAACCGAGCGGCAAGAGGCTCTCCTCTGTCTTTCCTTTTCATACTTAACACCCTGGTCATGCATAACGCAACGAGCGGACGAGCCGGACGCGAACCGACGCTCGGGTTGACATCACCCGTGAGAACAACGACCAAGACGGTTCGTGCGAACTCCGAGCATCGCTCGGAGATAACCACGAGCGTTTAGCCGCGTTAATTAAACCGGGAATATAATTGCGCGTAGAAGGAACGACGAGATTCGACTCGATACGCGAATGCAAGCCTGGGAAAAATTACACAGAGTCTTCGGAGCGTTAGATCTCACCTCTCTGGGAGAGATTTATCTCGGATACCTCGGTGTCTTCACAGAATCGCCCGGGAACGTACGCGTTTCGTTAATTACGCGACGGAATAACGAGCGATTCGACGTGGAATTCATTACGGAACGACGAAAATGCACGTTTTCACGGATCGACATTTTCCCTCGATATCTGGGATTTTTATTCGAGCTGAAATATCTAGGAGAGTTCTATAAATATTACAATTTTAGTAATGTTGACGTTGTTCGACGCATCTCTTACAATCATTAGCGATCTGCGGTGCGTCAGCGGGTCAGGAGATTTATTTACACGAGTTCAAAACGATCTAGCCAATAGCAACTATGTATATTTTCGTACTGCAACTTTGCCGCGTTACAAAATATCCGATAATGTATGGCCTGTAGAAAAGCTTGCGCAACGCGTCTAATTTGTTCGATCGTTTCAACGCGTTTCACAGTCACGCCAGTTTCTCCTGTCTAGATCCTCGACGATTTTTCGAATTATCGCCTAGCAAATACCGATATCCAGCAGCGCCACGGCGCGTTTGTTATTCCACCGTCAATTATTTAACAATTCACGTGTATCGAGCCATTCTGGCAACGATATCGATAGCAACACCGAGTATCCGTGCAAACAAAGTTTTACTCTGCATCTGGTGATCGTTATCAACGCCAATTGATCAATTTGAAACGATGAATTGGAGCGAACGAGACCTTTTACCGGCCAAGGAAACCGTCAGGCCATGCTGTTGCATGACAACGCTCGGCAACACGTTGCCCGTGCGACGAAGGTCGTCATCTTCAGCTCGAGCAACTTTTTTCCGCACGCGATCTGTTTTTTAAATTCAACTTCGTCTTATTACCACGTGTTCCCGCTGCTCCGACATTCATTGACCGACTCTTGTCGGCGACTTCGACCAGACCGTAAAACTTCTACCGCTATGAATCCCATGGAGATTTTTCGAATTTTTACTCGTCGAGAATAATTAAAAATTTTCCGCAGACTCGGTCCGCGAACAGGTCGACGGTCCCATCGACTCGCGTGCGTTTCGTTCGGCCGGACACGGCGATGTTTATCAAAATTTAGGTTTCGGGCGAGCTTCTACTTTCATTTCGTTCCCTTGCTCATTTGAATATTGCGCAGGAAATGCAATGAAATTCACCAGACCGAAGATATCGCGTGTCCCGGGCATTGTGCGCTCGTTGGACTCCAATTTCGTTTCTCTGACCAAAAACCGGGTGTCCCCCGCGAGCTCGCGCCTCGACGCCCACCGTCGCCATCTTTTTTCGCGGAACCGCGCCGACAAGATTTCACCAGAAAAAGCAAACAACCTTTCGTCGGTGGTTTGCCTCGATTTCTAGGGTTATCGCCAACAGCAACGACAGTTCGCTCCACTGGTGGTTCGACCACTCTTCCATCAATTAAGATTAGAGCAATTTCGGCTTAATCTATGTCTTTTCCCAACGAACGAACGAGAAATATTTGCGCAACGTGGCTGAGCGTATGACACAGATTTGTGTTTATATTACGCCGTTGAAACGAAGACAGATTATACAGTGTAATTATTTCACAAAAAAGGAACTTGTAGATCTAGCAAAAAGAAGTTTAAAAATAAACGACGCGATGACTAACTGAAAGTTGCATAGATCCTGTACTAGAGGAGTTTCGTTTTGCTCCGGGGAATCTACGAGCGACCTAAAATTCCTAGAATAATGATCGCATTGAACTCCATTTACCCGTAACCTTCGTTCGTAAGTGTTATCGTCGTTGCATCTGGATCGTTTAATTAAAAAGCCTATTGACTCCGGTCGCGTCGACGAGGACCAATGTAGAGAGACGGTGCTCGCGGCCCGGCCAATCACGCCTCCCGTCATTGACTCGCGAGCGACGTCGCGCTCGCGTCGACTCACGGCCGGTCACCTCTCGCCAGTCTTTGCCGAGACGCCGCGCGATACGCGTCCCTGTCCGCATCCGGTGCATCGATCCTCTCCGTTTCGTACAACAGACTCTCGATATTGTTAGCAATTTCCGGTACCGTTCGGTGCCCCGACCATTCCACGGTGAACGTCTTTCGATCCGTGTTTACCGAACAAAGAAAGAAAGAGTATCGAACGTAGGGCAGGACTCGCAGGGGTGATATCGTTGGTGAATGCAACGTGCTGCAACGGTGCGGTGAATGTCGAGTGAATGGTCACGAGTTCGCGGGGCGACAGGGAAGGCTTTCGCGAGACGTGCGCGCGAAAACCGGTTGCGTTGAGAAGGTCAGTTACTGGATCGGTGTCAGGAAACGCTCGTCCGTCCGTCTCGAAGGGCTGATCCTGTCGGCTCTCACCCTCCGTCGAAGAGGAGACGCGAAAAGTCAGTCACGTTCGCATCCCGTGCACGCACGTCCGCGTTCGAACAGGTCCCGGTTGAAACGTCAAAGGCCAAGGTTGCTGCTTTCGCGCGGCCTTTGTTCCGCCCGGAGAAGATGGAATGAGAGGAAAGAAAGCGAGAAAGAGGGGAGCCAAGTAGTATCTAGCACGTGGGCGAGCACGGAACCACCGAACGATCGACTGACTCTCCCGTTGACGGAAAGAACGGAGGGAAAGTGGAAAAGGTGAGCGTTACGCAACACCGATTTAAGGGGAACTGGCATCGGCTCTGCGCCTACCGGTTTCTTTTTTTTACCTCTTTCCTCTAGTCGAACACCTGTCGAGACCGAGTTCCACTCGTTACGCTCCATCGCTGGTTCTTCTTTCGCGCTATTGCGTACGCTATTTTTTTATTTAAACGTTGGTCTCGATTTGCACGGTACCAAACGTGGATCGTGGTGTCGCAATTTAGTCGCGGAAGAAACGTGCCTCGATAGGCATTTCCGTTGCACGATCTAACGAGTCAGAAAATTATTCTTACATTAGTACATACGCGATACTATTGAATTTAATTAGTGCGTTTGAATTATCGCTGTTCGTAGAACTGGTTAACGTCCTTCCGTGTTATACGCTACCGTACATCTGTATCGTAGACAAGGGAAGAAAAACGTAAACACGCTTGGAAATAAAATTTTGATTCAAAGTCGAGCGAATGGATTCGATGTATGAATCGAGCCTAAAATATTTACAGGAATCGAGCGTACGGGTATCTCCAGAAGAGATTCGCGTCTCGTTCGAGTCCCGTTCGTAGATAAGCTTCTAGCCAGGGCAAGCGACGTTGATTATTAGAATAGTTTGATTTATCGTAACGTTGTCATTGACTTGTCGCATTACCTCGGGTGGCAGCAGGTCGAAGTGTCGTAAATTGTCACGCCCCCAAGAAGTGTCACGGTACGACGATGTCTGTGAACGTGTGCCCTGGTCGATGCTGGCGTTCGTGGGCTGCGCGATAACGTGCCCGTGGTATTAAGAGTTCATCTCGCGAATTGTTTTTTATCATCGGGGAAACCTCACCGCGAACGACAGATACACCGACCGACGCGACGGTTCGTTAACGATTTGTCACAGTTCTGATATCGGCCGAAATACTCTGTTTGGTACGCGAAACGCAGATTTCGCTCGAATATCGCGCTCGCAACAGGCGTTCTGTTTCACGTTCGTACATTGCCCAGCGTCCATTTTTTCGATCGGCCATTCGGTCGAAAATCGAAATCGTCGTATTTTTACGAGCGTCGGATTTATCTCTAGAAATTGAAAATTGCCATGGCGGTCGACGCGTTAAATATATGTAGCTCTGTTTTCTTGCAAGTGACCAAGTTCGTCGGGTAATGGCCGGAATTAGTCACAGTCGTTCTCGTCGACTCGTAACAAGTTTTTCCATTAGTCTTTGCTCGTGAACGAACACAGTCCCTCATTATCAATGACACGTAACAATGGGTTGAATAGCAATCGTCCGAGTGATTCGATACAGCTGCTACGATCGTTGTTAATTTTCTATTTACGCGGAAAATCCCAGCACAATGTTGCTTTTGGTTATCAGTTACCGGCAATAATCGATACGTTGTTTCGTCTGGTGCTCGATCGGGTCTACTTTTGTTCGGGGCTAATTAATCACGAAATTATTCTAACTCTCCGTGGTGTTCGCGTCGCGGGAAATAAAATGCGTTTTCATTCAACTCGGTCGCGTTTCCGTTCGTTTAAATATTCGAGGACGGCCTCGTCTTTTTATTCGAGAACGTGAATTCATCCGACGGCGAGCTTTCATTTGCGTATCTACGAACGGTTTTTTTTTTTGTTATCTTTCGTCGTGTATATATCTTTCTTTTTGCGCTCGGTTCGCAGGATGTGAAACGTGTTTCAAGAATGGGAACTCTTTCAATTTCATTTTGTTAAACATTTCGCGACTCTGCTTACCAGCGATTCAACATCTTCGCGCGCGTAAATACGCGCTTTCGAGACTCGTTTCGTTGTGCGTTTCAATCCCGGTATTAAAACTCACGCTACGAATCGTGGCTCGACGCGTTTTAAATAAATTCTAAATCACGTTTACGATTAAATTCTTCGCAGTTTAAATTGCGGCTATTTCCCTCGAATATTTTGGTACGCGGAAATTTGTAAACATTCTTTCTCTGATAATTGTTTAGTTTGAATTTCAATCTCGTGCCAGCGAAACGAATGGAAAGAACGCGAACGGGTATGGGTCAACGGAAGCTTTAGGGGTTGAGAATTAATCCACCGCCCAACGAAGCCTTTGCTGTCTCGTCATTAGTCTCTTTGCGTTCTCTTTCCACGATCGCTGGCTATTTTTCTTCGCCTCGTACCGTTCGATCGGATTTATCCGACTCGATCAATTGTAATTAACGCGTGCAATAGAACGTATCTCTCGACACGTGGTATTTTCGTGAATTGATATTAATTTTACTCTTACAACGCGCTTGATCTATCCCGGTCGACCGTTTCCTGTTTCGACGTTCGAATCGTGGATATCTGGCCGAATAAAACAATTGGCCGCATTACGGATGTATCGTGTTATTCAGTGCCCGAAGGATGAACAATTTCTCTCTCGAGTTTCTGCGCGCGCTGCGGATCGCGACGGAAATATTTCTCCTCTTTGCCAAGGACAGATTTGTATCGAAACGATTCCCGATATCGGGACTTTGTTCGTTTTATTGTTCGACATAGACGGGGTAAGCATATACCCGATTGGTTTAAAGGTCGATCGATTTTCGACTTGGACTTGCTCCAAATTCGGGCTACCGTGAAATCGCTTTTACCGCCATACGTAGAATGCACTCGACTTTCGCGTATTGTAAAGTAGATTTTACTCGTTTCGAGCGGGAGCTATGCAAATTGCGTTTCCCGTATAGCAAAGATATTTCTCCCGGAAAATTGTTCCGCTCGATGCAACGACGATCCCTCAAATTCTCGTTAATTCTTCGCGGTTCGCTTTATATATTTTTAGTCTTTAAAAAATGTCCCGACAAAAATTACCGAATCTTTCGCTGAACGCGTATGCATCAGCTCGATATATCCTTCGCCCGCGAAACTTGAACCTCGTGCACGAAATTCGAAGCGAAACAGAGTTTCGTAACTTTATTACGGTTCTTTGTGGCGTCCCACGTCGTACTTTTCCCCGCCGCGAACGAGTATAAAAGGAAATTTTAAACGGAACAGAGAGACCACCGACGGAACACAGATCCTACGTGCAAAAATATCTACTAACAAATACTCTGTATCTCTTGACTTTTTTAACGTATCTTTTAAATTAAACAATTATTGTCCGTTACGATAGACGAGTATTTGGATCGGGTTCGTCGTTGCTCGCAGGGGATGCTAAATAGCGGCGTCCATCGCAGATAGAGCCGTATTTCCTACCACCATTGATATTTTTGCGGTGTTTTGTCTACCCTAGCGGCAAACGTACTTCACTTCTGGCATTATCCAGTTCATATCCGGTATATGTATTATGCTGCATATCCTGCAGCCCGCGAATTCGTATAGCGGCTAAAGAGTTGGGTGGCCTCTTTGCTTCCCCTCGTTCGCCTGTGCGTCAAGGGTCAAGTAATTATCTACACAGATTCAATGACGACCTACAAATTATGATAGTGTGGCGGCCAAGGCACCACATACGCCTTAGCCGTTCGAAGCCGCTACAATGTATGGTTGCACACGAGACGATGGTTGCACACGAGACGATGGTTGCACACGAGACGACCAGAGCCGCGTGAGCCGAAAAGCCGTTGTCGTCGTCTCTGACCGTCTTTTGTTTTTGAAGGCCTCTTGGTACGGTGGCGATGATCGTACCAGAGAGTCGAGCGTAACCCGCACCACGAGTCACGTCGTTGTACGACAGCAACAATAAAATTGTGCGGAACGGAACAGGGCGGAGTCATTACCTTCCCGATCCCACATTGGTGACCCCGACGTGATCTCGCCGCGCAAGTAAAGTTTTTTTTAAGAAAATTTGGACATTTTTTGTATACGGACAATATTAGTTAGTGTAGAGAAATAAGTGTATAGTGTTAAGAACATAAGGAAAGGACACGGTCTGACAAATAGTAGGCGCGGTGTGTGTGTGCGGTGAAATTAATCTTTTGTGACCAAGACTGGTAAAATGACTGACCCTAACGTTAACGCAGGGACATCCGCGGGTGTGCCGTTGGCAGTTGATCGCGTCGCTGTACGGATACCCGAGTTTTGTCCGGGAGACCCGGAGATGTGGTTTTCAATGGTAGAGAGAAGTTTTGAGGTATCCAATGTAACGTCGGAGACCACGAAATTCGGGTACATTCTCGGCGCGTTAAGTGCGCGACACGCCGCGGAAGTAAGAGACATTATCATGAATCCCCCGGCCGCGGATCCGTACACGACGCTAAAAAATGAGTTCATTCGCCGGCTTAGTGCGTCGCAGGAACAGAAAACGCGGCGGTTATTGGAACACGAGGAAATCGGGGACAGAAAACCGTCCCAATTTCTTCGTCACCTGCGCGGATTGGCCGGTACGGCTTTTTCGGACGGTGTATTGCGGACGCTTTGGATGGGCCGACTACCTGCTAATATGCAGGTGATTTTAGCCACGCAGCGGGACACCCCGCTGGATAAGGTGGCAGAGTTGGCAGACGCTGTCGCGGATACGATGACACCGCGGGTACACGTCACGGAGGCCGCGATTACGAGCGTATCTGCATCCTGCCAAATACCCCCGCCGGGCCCGAGCATCGAGGCCATGTTAAACATTAAGATGTCACAATTGGCTCTTTCCTTGAGGCAGGAAATTTCTGCCATCCGTGAATCCTTGGTGGACCAGGGGCAATCTTCCCGTCGCAGGTGGACCCACCGAAATCATCCAAACTCGCGCTACCGCAGACGATCTCTATCGCGATCGCGAGAGCGGCCCGCGGGAGGACAAATGGACCATCAAGGGAAATGCTGGTACCATTGGCGGTTCGGTCCGGCCGCGCAGAGGTGAATTGGGACGCCACGGATCAGGGAAACGACCTGGGGAGTCGTTGATGGCGGCCAGCGACACAAATCCAGCATCACGCCGCCTCTTCATTTTAGACAACAGCTCGAAGACGGAATTTTTAGTGGATACCGGGGCCGATTTGTGCGTTTTTCCGCGCCGCCTGCTAGGCGGATTGCGAGAAAGATCGGAGTACCAGCTGGCGGCGGCGAATGGGAGTGTAATTAACACCTACGGGACAGTGTCGTTAAACCTGCACCTCGGCCTACGACGGGATTTCGTGTGGCGATTCGTGGTTGCGGATGTTACAAAACCCATAATCGGGGTAGACTTTCTCGATCACTTCGATCTTATGGTGGACATCCGCAATCGTCGCCTCGTCGATCGGACCACGTCGTTAACGGTCCGCGGAACACGAGCCGAGGATGAAACGCCGTCGGTGAAGACAGTAGCAGGGACTACCGTTTACCACCAGCTCCTGATGCAGATGCCGGAACTTACACGGCCTAGCGGCACCCCGATGAGGACTACGCACCAAACGGTGCATTACATCGAGACAACCCCTGGACCACCCGTTTTCCAGCAAGCCGCGGCGGCTTGCACCGGACCGGCTCAGGGCTGCCCAGAAGGAGTTCGACGCGATGGTGAAGATGGGCATCGCTTGTCCTTCGAAGAGCGCGTGGTCAGCACCCCTTCATATGGTTCCGAAGAAGGGCGAAGAAGCTTGGAGGCCTTGCGGTGACTATAGAGCGTTAAACGCACGGACAATTCCCGACCGATACCCCGTGCGTCACATTGAGGATTTTGCGCAACAACTGAGTGGCAAAAAGGTATTTTCCACAATAGATCTCGTCCGAGCTTATAATCAGATTCCGGTTGCGTCGGAAGACGTCGGAAAACGGCCATTACAACGCCGTTCGGGCTTTTTGAATTCCCGTACATGTCGTTCGGGTTACGAAATGCCGCGCAAACATTTCAGCGCTTTATCGACGAAATTTTACGCGGTTTCGATTTTTGTTACGCGTATATAGACGACATTTTGGTCGCCTCAGAATCCCAAGCCGATCACCTGCGCCATTTAGAATTATTATTTAAACGATTAAAAGATTATGGCATTGTTGTTAATCCGAATAAATGCACGTTCGGACAGGAAGAAGTTAAATTTCTAGGCTATCGGGTAAATGAAAGCGGCACTCAACCTTTGCCCGGCAAGGTACAAGCCATAAAGTCATTTCCCCTTCCGAAAAACGCGAAGGATTTGAGGCAGTACTTGGGAATGCTTAATTTTTACCGCCGTTTTATCCCAGATGCCGCTCGCTTTCAAGCACCCTTGAACGACCTTCTAGCCGGCAATTTAAAGGGCAAGACCTCGATAGCCTGGACTTCGGAAGCGCGTCAGGCTTTCGAAAATACCAAAAATGGTTTAGCAAACGCAACCCTGCTTTCTCATCCTGCGGTCAACGCTCCATTGTCGGTTACCTGCGATGCTTCTGATTACACCGTAGGAGCTGTTTTACATCAGTGCGTCGGCAACGAACGACAACCATTAGCATTCTTTTCTAAGAAATTAGGATCTGCCGAAAAGAAGTATTCAGCTTACGACCGGGAACTACTTTCTATCTATTTAGCAATAAAACATTTCAAACATATGCTCGAAGGCAGACATTTCACGATTTTTACAGACCATAAACCCATAACTTTCGCTTTCAAACAGAAATTAGATAAATGCTCTCCTCGACAATTCCGATACCTAGATTACATTGCGCAATTCTCTACAGATATTCAACATATTTCCGGTAAAGACAACGTCGTTGCCGATGCACTGTCCAGAGTGGAAACGGTTAACCACTCGATTAATTTCGAAGAATTGGCAAAATCGCAAGCCCAGGATGAGGAGTTGCAGCGGTTGTTGAATAGCGAATCTAGCCTGCAATTACGCAAAGTCTCGTTGCCTGGCACGTCTTCCGAAATTTTTTGCGATATTTCGACTAAGAATGTAAGACCTTATGTCACCCCTCCTTTCCGACGTGCAGTTTTTAATATGTTACATGTATTATCACATCCAGGTATTAACGCGACGATCAAGCTCATAACGCAACGTTATGTTTGGCCGTCGATTAAAAGAGATGTTCGCACGTGGACACGTTGCTGTATACCGTGCCAAAGATCAAAAATTTCCCGTCATGTGACTGCACCATTGGCTACATTTGTTAAACCTTCTGCGCGATTCGAACACATTCATTTAGACATAGTAATTTTACCGGTGTCCGAAGGTTTCAGGTATTGTCTGACCTGTGTAGACAGATATACGCGGTGGCCGGAAGCCTTCCCCATGGTCGATCAGGAGGCCCAAACCGTAGCTCGAACCTTTTATGACGGTTGGGTAGCGCGGTTTGGTGCTCCCGTACGGATTACCACCGATCAGGGTAGGCAGTTCGAATCCAAATTATTTTTTGCGCTGAACAATTTAATTGGATCCACACGCCTTCGCACAACGGCGTATCACCCAGCGGCCAATGGGATGGTAGAGCGTTTTCACCGACAGCTCAAGTCGGCTATAAGGTGCCACGGATCCGACAGGTGGACAGAAATACTTCCGACGGTTCTACTCGGTATTCGTTCCGCCTGGAAAGAAGACCTCGGCGCTACCTCAGCGGAATTAGTTTATGGCGAGCCATTAAGATTACCGGGAGAGTTCTTGTCTTCGCATTCAGTGGAAGGCACAGAAAATGCTTCCGATTTTACTAATAGACTACGCAACCATTTTTCTAAATTGAGTCCCTCTAATGCATCACGCCATTCCGTTAATCGTACATTCGTTTTCAAAGATCTTAGCAGTTCAACACATGTTTTCATCCGAACAGATTCAGCCAAAACTATTTTACAACCCGCTTATGAAGGTCCATACGCCGTAGTGCGCCGAGGCGAAAAAACATTTACAATAAACATTAGAGGTAAGGAAATAAATATATCAATTGAAAGGCTAAAGCCTGCTTATATGCTAGCAGAAAACAGACCGGATCCCGTGAGCATAGAAAATCAGCCGGTCACACAAACAAACGTACCTGACAATGCGCCGGTTATACAGCAACGTGTCACGCGTTCAGGTAGACGCGTACGTTTTCCCGAGCGATTTCAAATTACGCGGTAGTACTTAAGGCTTGCGCATTATTATAATAAGTATCATATACCATTTATTTTTTTCCATCACTTTTATGTACTTTCATGTATTTTTAGGTATTACGTATTATATATTAAACTCCATGTAAATTCCTTTTTTTTTCAACTCTGTTCAAATACTGTAATGTAAATCTTAGTTAGGATAACGTATTTTATATAATAGAGTAAATGGTAGTGGTAATGTAGTCGGTCAATTTTTCGTAATTGTGCCAATTACTGGCAGGGGGGTAGTGTGGCGGCCAAGGCACCACATACGCCTTAGCCGTTCGAAGCCGCTACAATGTATGGTTGCACACGAGACGATGGTTGCACACGAGACGATGGTTGCACACGAGACGACCAGAGCCGCGTGAGCCGAAAAGCCGTTGTCGTCGTCTCTGACCGTCTTTTGTTTTTGAAGGCCTCTTGGTACGGTGGCGATGATCGTACCAGAGAGTCGAGCGTAACCCGCACCACGAGTCACGTCGTTGTACGACAGCAACAATAAAATTGTGCGGAACGGAACAGGGCGGAGTCATTACCTTCCCGATCCCACAATAGTTAAAGGCCTTAATTGCTCGGGGACCGCGGCACGTTTCCGGTTGCGTTTTATAAATTCCTCGATCGAGGTAAATCGAGACGTTAAAAATTACAATTCGATCGTAATTTCGCTTTGTTTTCTTCACTGTATATTTTACCTAATACAACAAATATAGGCCGTGTTGTTGTTTCGCCGAGAAGCGTAATAACGGGGCGATCAACGTTCAAGGTGCACCATCGATCGTTTGAATTTGTATCGGTTCTTGCGTTTATCGGTCGATATTCTATCCACAGGAGTGGTATTATTTTATTTTTCACGAGTAATAAAAATAATAATAAGTCCAGGCGAGGACAAGTGTTTCAACTTATCGTTACTTTATCTTCAATAGTCTATTATTTTCTTCGACCGGTTCATTATCATACATCCACCGACGCGAGAAGTTTAATGGTTGATCGATGAATCGTTCATAAATATGTATTATACCGACATAGAGAAACAGATGGAGCGACAGATAATAGTTTTTTTTTTTTTATTTTGTATTTCAGATCTAAGTGGAATATTCCATCGGCGGCGTCGTTGTATCCTCGCCGTAAGTTGCACAAAGGAATATGTATAACGCTTGTGATTCGATTCGACATGCGACTGCATCGGCACGCGACCCGTTGATTATCCGATTCCTCGATGAACCGATCCGCTCCCTAAATTGCTTTTCATTAAAAGTGAACGCCAATGTCCTTGGTGTTCCATCGAGAAGTCGTCCGTTACGGGAAAGCTGTTTAAAATTTTATCGCCCACTAATGTCGGCATAGTGGAAAAGTTCTTAGCTCGCGCGCGAGTTCGCGGCAAAGAAAGTCCGATAAGTTCATTCCCGTGGAAAAGAATTTTAGTAGTTTCCGGCGAATCCCAGTCTCTTTATTAATCCAGGATCTCGGCTTCGATGGGTACAGAATACTTCATAAAAATTTCATCCGACAAATGGCAGATGTTTTAAATATTCCATCTTTTCACCCACTTCGTCGGATACATCTAATTCATGTTACACCAGTTTTACTGAATCTCTAATAATATAATCTACAGTCGGTGGACTGTTAAGGAAAGAACGATGGCTGTTTTGTCGTTGTTTTATGTTAGTTTACACTTGGACTCGGGAGATAGCGTGTTCGCAATTACTTTTCCTTTCATCGGATCGCATTATAATCCGCGATGACACGTTACAAACACCGAACAATCAACGTCAATTTATTCCTCCCCGTTCATCTAATTTTAACTCATCACGCACGCCGTGTTTCCGGCGATGCACACGTTGATAATCTTGATTTCTTTCCGCCAACACGACGTACAGACACCTAATATTGGTTTCGATTTTATTATAGGATCCGCGATATACTCTTGTCCGCATCGTTAACGCCTGTGCAATTGTCGTGACCATACTCGCAGGATACATGCAATTTACGATAATGTCGTAGTTTCGTCGAGACCTGGCGTAACTCGAATTCTCTTCCACGATTGTTGTCGCGTCACGCTTCGGGAGTACGCGACGGAAAAACCATCCTTGCGTTCGCACGATCTGTCTTTCGTTGTGTTTTTGCTGAAAAATGAGTGGTATTTTTAAATAACCAAAGGGTCGAAAACTGGAGTTCTTATTATTCTAACGACGGTATCTGCCCGAGCGACACTCGAGAACATAATTTGTACTTAAATTTCGTTTACGCGATGAATAGCTTCCGCGACACGGAGATGTAAAATTGGTCTACGCCAGCGTGCCACTTGCTTCGGCTCTTCTCCCGTTAGACGCTCTCGGAGGACGCTTCTCGAGCCACGACTGTTCATGACTCGAACATTTATGCAAATAAGTTGACCCATATTGCTTTCTTCGTATCGGCCACACGTGCACAATTATTCCTAGTTGCCATTCAGCAGGTAATACGGTATTAAATTCTGCGCGTTAATATCTATTCGTACGAATATAACGCAATGTAACAAACAAGTTTCTTTTCATAGTGAATTTGGGTATACACCAGAAGTTGGCTAGCCTTATTAGACCGGTGCAATATCGTTGTGCAAGCATAAAAGTCGCGTTCGACGAGCAGAGTCAGATGCAAGAAGCAGATTTGTTTGCGTTTGTCTGGTCGTTTGGCGGTCTGCCCGACATCGAACCGAAATCTATCGAACCTCGTGCGAGGATTCTGCGTTTTCGTTCGCAGGCCTCGCGTGGATATGCTTAACGAGAACGGGAGAGAAGGTGAAACGGTACTCCGTTCCGAGGCTCGTGTTCTTCCCGTGCTGGAGGTTCGCGTCGCGATGCTAGAAACGCCCTCGAGGTTTCTACATACCGTGGTAACCGCGCCACGACCCTGAGAAACAAATTGCACGTCCGACCTAGCTTCGTGCCACGCTTGTGTACGCAAGTTAATCCAATCCGCGGTAACTTTATTCCCCGGAGAAACTTCGCGACCTCTTCGAACTAATTGCGAGCTGACCCTCTCGAGTCGCTGGCAAACAGAGTCAGACGGTTGTGTACGCACAGAGCACGGCCGCACTTTGAATCGCCATAATTCCCCGCGGTATTCTTACCTTCTTAAACAGTTTGAACGAGCCTCGTCTTGCCCGTATCACCCCCCTTAACTTGCCCTTATCGACCGACAAACGCGGTCAGTCCCCGCGAACTTGTAGCGACGGATCGAAGACTGTTTGAAAGACGTTGGTGGCGAACTGTTGGAAAATCCATTTCGTGGCGAGCCGCCGTTTCGCTCGGCGACAAGAAACGCCTTGCTTTATCGTGGCTGTGGTTTCACCGTTTCCGCTTCGTTACGGTTGCCCGGCCAATTCGATAAAAGTCTGCTTGTCGTAACGAGCAGAAACTCTGTTCATAATACAGTTTATTGTATTGCAAAAAGATACGCTAACTAACGGGGCAAGGTTCTCGTCCCAAGAGAACTCAAATCTTGTTGATTGTTTCCATCGGTTGGACGAAGCGTTTCGTTTAAACGCGAAAGAGAAACGTGCCATTTCTCGCGGCTAAAAGCAAATCCAGTTACTCTTGGCGGCAAACTACCAAAACTTGTACCGGTCTTCGTCCCCGTAAATGAAAATTTGCTGCTTTCAGCGAACACTCATCGACGTTGCTCGTATTACCTCGGATCGCCAGGTATAGGAGAAAAAACCCGTAAAATTTTGCGAACGGCCGCTATAGCCGTAACGTACGCAATTTCCCCTTCTTTTCGCGAAATTGCTGAAAATTTATCGGTCTGTATTTTGCCGGCAGTAGCAGCCCTAACGAGCTCGTATTTATCCCGGCGATGTTAACAGCGTTCATGCTAGAACCAGCCTTACAACATCGATCTTCTCGTTCTATCTCGTCGAGCTAAATTTTAACGCCGGTGCTTCGAAACGGTGTCCTGCGACACACGTTGTATCCGTTTCCATGAAACGAAACACGCCCCCGGTCGAAAGTCTATCTTATCGCGTTGTATCGTGTATTATTTGAGGGACTATCAAGTGTCATTAAACTGGGCGTAGCTGACAAGCCTCGTAACTTTCGGTTAATAGCCATTATTTATTACTCCGAACGTTCGTAATCGTGAATATTTTAGTTTGCCAATCCTCGATACGAGAAATTGAAGAAAAAATGGAAAAGGGAGGTCGATATTACGACACGAATGCTAGCTTTTCATGCTGGATTACACGCTAAATTGCTGCTAGTTCGTGTCAGCGAAAATAGTGTATTGTTCGGCTTGTGTGCACCGCGTTGCAAAAAAGAAAGCGCTCGTTCGTTGGTCATTTACATTGTTTGCTCGCAATTAGAGAAATCTTGGCGGTAGTTAATTGAGCCTCCCGACTGTCTGAGCCACCTGACCCAACTTTGCCGTAACTTTTCGAAAGGACCTTATTATGTCCGGCAATTCACCGACTGCTCTCGCACGCCCGCTACTCCATTTTGCCCGATCGGTCAAAGTTTCTCGAACGCGATCCAGTCGAATTTATTAGCGTTGATATTTGGTCGTTCGTATATAAATTAACTCACCCCTGTATTATTAGGCTATCTAAGAGTAGCGCTGGCTTCGTCATTTGCGTCTATATTTGAGTTCCAAGTGCAACATGTACGCAGTAGTTCCCATGCGGGTTACCTAACCGCGGGAAATTTATTAATAGTATCTTTTGATGAGATCATAAGATTTTCAGAGGTATTCTAGGTGTTCTACGAAGGTTTACGTAAACTCGATTTTTTATACGCGAGGAATCGGGTTCGCCGATATCGCGATCAGAAATTTAATAGGAGAAATCGAGTGTTCGTTGGTAAAAAATTCTTTCGATTCGCATCGCCGAGCAAGCATTGGTATTAGACTGTCCCAAAAGGCAACAGTGGTAACAAAGGTTCTGCATGTAAAGTCGTGTAAAAGGAGGGTGTACTAATAAAGGGAAAGAAACTGATAGGATCGTTCGAAAAAGGGAACATGGAAATTCTGAAAATTCGGGTCGAATCTTGGTCCGGTAACGATAAGAGAGAAATCCTGAAAGGGTTTCGAGGAGTAGGAGTCGCCGATTCATCGACCGTGGCATTGGTGGTTCCGGCGAGAGCCGGTTTAACTAATATACATGTAAATACGAGCAGCAGCCTGAAAGGGTATGAATGTCGGGAACGGTGTTTAACGCGAGCGTGGCGGAGGGAAGCCACGAGGAATCCCAATTACTCGAAAGAATGGAACGGGACAAGGTCTTTTCAGCGGGATCTCCTTTTCAGCCTGTCATTTTTCGACCTCCGACAAGAATTCGTGCGTCGGAGCTCGCAGGAAAAGGCAGCTCGAAGAAAGGGTTGCGGTTGGCTGGGGAGGGAAAAGGGGAAAAAGGGAAAAGGGGAAAAGGGATCCTACCAAGAGGAGAGACGTCGTGCATTTTAATTCGTGGGCTCTTGAATCCCCCCCTTTTCCAGCAGCATCGTTCCCGTTTCCACTCGTGGCCTCCTCGCCCTTCGTTCTATATCTTCTTTAGGTTTCCTGCCCTTCAGGAAAAGTTTACAAAACGAGTGTCGGCGTGGCTCCGGAGCACTCGACTGTCTGCAGTTTTCCTCCCCAGCAGCGAGGCCTCCATTTTTCCTTCCTCGCGCGCACCTTTGTTCTTATCCCCAGTTTCATTTCCGTTCTTGCCCCCTTTTATCTCAATATTGTTGTACCTTCTGCCTCCCCGTAATTCTCCGGTTATCAGGCTCTCTTCCCGTTAACGAGCTTAATTCACGAATCGCGAAAGCCTCTTTGCGGTTCCCCGTTCGTTTCTTTTTCCTTTCGCGCGCGTTCCCGCGGGAGACTTTCCTCCGCGTCGATGATACCGGAAACGAGAGTCGTATCGTCCCTGCTCGCGTTCGGTTTACTCGCCCTTTTACTTCTTTGTCGTCGGCCATGTAATTCCAACGAAAAATTGACCGTCCTTTCGTCCCCGAAGCACCGTCGTCCTTCATCAAGTGGACCAATTTCTTTTATCAGCGTCTCGATGTATTCACCGTCTCGTCCTCGCGGGTCGAAAGTTTCCCAGAACTTTCCGTACTTCCATTCTGAAATTCGTTAAAGCGATTCCGCCGGCTGGAGGCCCCCCCCC